CATTTGTCACCGTCCTGGGGGGATTTGTCACCGTCCCAAGGGATTTGTCACCGTCCCAAGGGATTTGTCACCATCCCAAGGGATTTGTCACCGTCCCAGGGGATTTGTCACCATCCTGGAGGGATTTGTCACCGTCCCGGGGCATTTGTCACCGTCCTGGGGGGATTTGTCACTGTCCTGGACGGATTTGTCACCGTCCCAAGGGATTTGTCACCGTCCCAGGGGATTTGTCACCATCCTGGAGGGATTTGTCACCGTCCTGGAGGGATTTGTCACCGTCCTGGGGGGATTTGTCACCGTCCCAAGGGATTTGTCACCGTCCCAGGCGGATTTGTCACCGTCCCAAGGGATTTGTCACCGTCCCAGGGGATTTGTCACCGTCCTAGGGGATTTGTCACCATCCCAGGGGATTTGTCACCGTCCCAAGGGATTTGTCACTGTCCTGGAGGGATTTGTCACCATCCCAGGGGATTTGTCACCGTCCCAGGGGATTTGTCACCGTCCTGGGGGGATTTGTCACTGTCCCAAGGGATTTGTCACCATCCCAAGGGATTTGTCACCCTCCTGGAGGACCTGTCACCCTCTCAAAGGACCTGCCACCACCCCGAGGGGACCGGCCACCACCCTGGAATGTCCTGTGGTCACCTCTGTCCCCACAGGAGTGTCCTCGGGTGTCCCAGCCCGTTACTGGTCCCCCGTCATCTTCGTGGTGCTGGCCCTGCTCGTGCTCCTCGTCACCTACCACAGGACCAAGGACAAAGGTCTGACCCCGGCACCCCAAAAACCTCCAGGGGTCACCACCCCAAAAGGTCCAGAAATGCCCCAAAATATCCAGAAACTTCCCAAAAACCTCCAGGGGTCACCACCCCAAAAGGTCCAGAAATGCCCCAAAATATCCAGAAACTTCCCAAAAACCTCCAGGGGTCACCATCCCGAAAGGTCCAGAAATGCCCCAAAATATCCAGAAACTTCCCAAAAATCTCCAGGGGTCACCACCCCGAAAGGTCCGGGAGTCACCACCCCAAAATATCCAGAAATGCCCCAAAATTTCCAGAGGTTCCAACCCCAAAAACCTCCAGGAGCCGAAACCCCAAAATATTCAGAAATGCCCCAAAATTTCCAGAAGTCACCACCCCAAAATATCCAGAAATTCCCCAAAAGATCCTGAAGTCAAAATCCCAAAATCCTTTGGATTCCACCACCCCAAAAGATCCAGAAATGCCCCAAAATTTCCAGAGGTTCCAACCCCAAAAACCTCCAGGAGCCAAAACCCCAAAATATTCAGAAATACCCCAAAATTTCCAGAGGTTCCAACCCCAAAAACCTCCAGGAGCCACAAGCCCAAAATATCCAGAAGTCACAACCTAAAAAGATCCAGAAATGCCCCAAAAAATCCAGAAGTCGCAATCCCAAAAATCTTTAGATGCCACCACCCCAAAAGATCCAGAAATGCCCCAAAATTTGGGTGGAAAATTCAGGTTTTTGGGTCTGTTCCAGTCACAGGGATCCGGGACCGGGCCACGAGCGGCAGCGACTCCTCAGGTGAGCCCTGTGGGGGAACTGGGGGAACTGGT